CCCCCCATCTTCTCGTCGCCTCGTAGGCCATCGACGCGTGCGATCAGGTGCAAAACCTCCGCAAGGCGGTCTACGACGCCAAGCTGCGTGCTGAGAATGCCGACGCGGGTACCATCAAGCATCGTCATCTCTCAAAAGTCTACAACAATTACTTGCAACGCTACGTGAGTGTGGGGCGTCTGCTCGCTGTTGCGGTCTTTGCTTTTTTGCTAATTGCGCAATCCTGCTGCTGCTGCTGCTGCTGCTGCTGCTGCTGCTGCTTGACTCGGCAGGGCTATCTGATCGTAAGAACACGCTTCGACTTGTGGCGCTGCTTCTCGCAACAATCTTACATGCTCTCTTGTCACCCCCACTCTAGGTTTTCGCATCATACCTGCTAGACAAGGCGCACTGGGCCATCGAAGGGGACGATCAAGACGACGCCAGATCCGTCGTCTCTAGAGCTTCCACTACTGTCTCTGCTGCCGCCGTCATATCTCAGGCGACAGAGGCAAGACATTTTCCCAGCTTTTTGGAATGGCTCAAACCGAGGAGAGAGATTTCTGACATTCTTCGAAAAAAGTTGGAATAGGAAAGCCATTTCTTTTTTTTGGGGGGGGCGCCAATTTTTTTTTGTGTATTGGGGGATGAGGTCGTAGCATGGCAAAAGCGCGGTTTGCCATGCGACGTGGCTTGACGATGCTGATTGGTCTGTTGATCGGCCGTCTTTTGCTCAGCTTGCTCGGGGATTTGCATGTGCTTGTTCAAGCATTCTTCGTGTTGGAAGACGTCATGCGGGCAACGTTGCCGCCCTGGCGTGCCGTACAGATCGAGGCGTGTCAGCTGGGCCTTGACCCTAACCCTAACCCTAAGACGGACTCGCGAAAGCGAAACTGAATGCAATTCCAGCACAACATGCACCCGCACTCACGCTCAACGAGATCTTGATCCTGTTGTGCCATCTGTTTCTCATCTCCATCTTGGAACGCGTGGTCATGTTGTACTTTTTGCTGAGAGACTTGAGAGCTGCATCGATCGCGTTGTAGTCGGGCGTAAAGGAGGCAAGGATGGCATCGAGAAAGACTTGATCCTGCGTGTTGCGTTGTGGGGAGTGTGGAGCGAGCGAGAAAGGAAAGCAAGGCGAGGGAGGATGGAGTGAGTTTTGGCTGTTCTGCGCAGCGCCAGCGCACGTCCTTCATGCAGCTCAGGCAGTCGCTTCTCACCTCTGCGGCGGTCCATGGAGCGTTAGCGTTGCGCTGCGGGTGATGTGGATACGGTCAGCAAAGCCACGTAAGCGGGCGCAAATGTATGGACACGAGTCACCCTGCCAGAACAAGAGTCGACTGACTCACAGTTTTGCCCTCTGCACCATCCTCCTCCTTCTTGGCTCGCTTAGCAGCAGGACTCTTTTTGGGCGTCTGCTGCAAAGGTGCAGCACGTCCACGTTTCTTGGGCACGACAGTCGATTTGACAGCTTGCTCTTGCTCTTCTTGGTACTCGGAGCCCGAAAGGCTAGGCTCGGGAGTCAATCCATCCCGCTTGAGCTCAGCTTCCTCTTCTTCTTCTGCTACATCCTCTTCCTCTTGCTCTTGCTTTTGCTCTTGCTCCTCTTTTGCATGCGGCACTTGTTCGCCCGTCGAGCCTTGTTGAGCCGACTTGTCGCTTGGAGAAGGAGAGGGCGAATAAGGTGGAGGGGGAGTGTCGGATAGACCTCGCTTGGGTTTGGTCGCATTCTTGGGTGGCATGATGTGCACTTTTGGGACGGGCAGGCGAGGGCAGGGAACAGCAGTGATGACGGTGGGCGAGGCGAATCACTTGAAGGGACTGGAGAGAGCGGCAAGTTGGTGAGGGGGATGGTGTTCAGAAGAGAGCTTGAGATTTCCATCGGGAGGAAAGCGCACAATGTCGAGCTGGTCAGCGCGTTATTATACAACAAATGTGCTTCCTTGGGTCCCACGCACTGACAAGAAGAGCTCATCAGCGATGCCTTGTCTTATCGCCGCTTCCTTTTGCATCAATCATCGGATCTTACGCGGGAAGTGGCTGTTTGAAGGTCGAGCGTTAATTCGAGATGGCTGGGGTTGATGCAGCCCTGGAGGTTCAAGCCACACTTACCCGCCCGCCAATCCCTCAAATCAAGAGGGTGTCCATTCGCGCAGTCTGATCCTTATGCAAGACATCGATCCAGGTTGATTGATAACCCACAGCAATCAAAATCTGTAATCTGCTAGCTGCGCGGCGACGAGACAGCTCCTCAATCTGAACGTGATTTACACTTCACACATTGCAGTTGTGAGGGATGAATCGCTGGATTGATTCGGCGCTTGTCTATTGCATCGAGACTCGCAACATGTTTCACATGAATGAACCCTCACTTTCAGCATCTTCCTCTTCGCTTTGCTCTTCTCGCATTCCTATTCGCTCAGCATCATCTCCTGCCGTAATTTTCTCCTTTTCCTCCTGCGCCTTTGCTCTAGCTTTGCGTTCCTTTTCTCTCTGCGCTGCGGAAATGGCTTCCGAAGAGTAGACTGCATTCGAGTGCGAGATGCGTCAGATGCTGATCAAACTACTTGCGAGATGAAGGTGCCAGCCAGCTCACGATTCGAATAATCTTGCGAGGCTTTGGCTTCTTGTCGTGCGCGCTGTTCTGCCAATTTCGCATTTCGCTGCACGTCCAAAAGTCCCGGCGCGTCGAAGAGGAGAGAGAGAGAGAGAGCAGAATCAATTGGCAGACCGAAGCTCATCTGTGATTGGAAACCTGCGCGAATGACTGACCTCCTTCACAGCCACTTCTTTTCTCTCTCTTCCCTTTGCCCTTTCCCTTTCCTGCCTCACAGCCTCGTGGTCCACAGTCTCTTCCCGCTTGGTCTTGTTGAGCCTGTTCAGAATCGCATTGTCCTTCGCTGCAATGTGGTGACGCCGCACTATCCGGTCGTTGTGGAATTGCACGGCTCCCGTTGCCAAGTCTCCGGTTTTCTATGTGTATGCGGCGGGCGCGTTTCGCGGGGAAAAGGATTAGCGAAAAGTTGTTGCACATGACCCGAGAAGATTCTCTGAGAGGCTGCTTCTGCCCGCCAGCACAGCCTTGTGTACGCACCTTGACGTTGGACCAAGGGGTGTAGATGATGGTGACCGTCTGCTTCTTGTTGCCTATTCGAGTGCAGGTCATACGCTGATTTAGATCGGGGCGAGCAAGCCACCTACAGTTCGCGTCCCTCACCTTCTATACTGTTCGCCTTGGTCAGCTGTCCAATATCCTCGAGTAAAGCCTTTGGTATTTCCTCCCATTTCATATCCTCTTGTAACCTGAGATACACATGAGCCGAGCTCAACTTGTCCACGTGAAACCAAACATCCAGTTCATCGCCATACTTTAACAACACTTCATTCTCAAACTTGTCTTTGCCCATATACAGCAATGTCGGCGGGGTAGTGACTGGAATAGGCGTGAGAAGTGAGGTTAGCTGGAGAGCGTGGGCTTAAGATGCGAAAGAGGCGGTCCTGCATGCCCGCGAGGAAGGCGCTCCGCTTGCAAACGGAGCCCTGACCTTGGCGCGGTCTCGCAGCTCACCTGTGGATGTGAAGAGAAGGACCATCGTGTGAACAAAGCGGCGAAGATGCTTTGATGCAGAAGCAATGCCGTGAATGGCGAGACGATCGGTGAGTGACAAGCAGCGAGCGGGCCATGCAGGAGACGCGGGCTGGTCATAAAGAGAGAGGCTGGTAGGTCTGTGGGTTAGCATACATGCGTGATACACTCACACTGTTGACTATTGACTGCGAGGCGCCTCGCGG